GAGCTGACCTCCTATCGAAGCTCGCCAACACCAAAAGACCCGGGCAGCACTGAACTATCATCCAGGAAACCTTACACTCCCCCAGCCTGGATGACAAAATCATCAGCCTCAGCGACAACGAAGACCTAGGCTGGATGACAAGCATCTGAAGATACCTGAAAGAAGGGGTCCTACCCGAGGACAAGAATGAAGCTCGGAAAGTAAGAATGAGATCGGCCAAGTTCGTCATCATTGACGATGAATTATTCAAGCGCGGCATCTCCTCCCCACTGCTTAAATGTCTAACAGCATCTCAGGCAGCCTATGTCATCAAGGAAATCCATCAAGGGATTTGCGGTATGCACTCTGGCGCACGCTCAATGGCAGCCAGAGTACTCCGAGCTGGATACTACTGGCCCACTTTGAAATTAAATTGCCAAAGCCACCTCCAAAAATGCAAAGAATGCCAACAGTTTGGCAACACGCACCGACAGCCCCCGAAAACCTCTACCATATGATGTCAGCATGGCCCTTCTCCCAATGGGGAATGGACATCCTTGGACCATTCCCACCCGCGGAGGGACAGCTAAAATTCCTTCTAGGAGCAATCGACTCCTTTACCAAGTGGATCGAGGTGTGCCCACTCGCCAAACTTACCACCGAGAACGTGCGGAAACTCACTTGGAAAAACATCATTTGCCGCTTTGGAATCCCTCATGCCCTCGTTACTGACAACGGGCGGCCGTTCATTGCACAAGAGTTCGAAGAATTCCTCAATGAATTCGGAATCAAACACCTCTCAACCTCGGTGGAACACCCCCAAACCAATGGCCAAGCTGAAGCTGCCAACAAAGTCATCCTCAAGGAGCTCAAAAAGCGACTAGGAAGCGCCAAGGGACAATGGCCTGAGGAACTCCCCAGCATCCTCTGGGCGTACCATTGCACCCCCCAATCAACAACACAAGAAACCCCTTACAGGCTGACCTATGGAACTGATGCAATGATCCCAATAGAAGTCGGCCAAATATCCCACAGACGCCAAACCTTCAATGACGAGCAGAATGCACAAGAACTGGCGGCTGACCTCGACTTAGTGGACGAGCTCAGAGAGGAAGCCCAAATCCACGAAGAGGCCTGCAAGCTCCGAGCTTCCCGAAGGTACAACACCCGGGTAAGACCTCGCGCTTTCCGAGCAGGAGACTTAGTATGGCGGTTACTGGGCGAAGCAAGAAAAGACACGTCATATGGGAAACTCGCACCCACTTGGGGTGGCCCCTTCCGAGTCACAGAAGACTTGAAAAATGGAGCATACAGACTAGAAGAACTCAATGGAAAACCCATACCACGAACTTGGAATGCCACACATCTCAAGGTCTATTACAGTTGAACTCTGTACCAATGAGCCATGTACTCTTTAGCAAGGCATATATTCCCATCAATAAAATGACTCATTCCCTTTTTATTTACACTTTACTCCTCCTGCTCACGATCACTAGAGGTCGAGTACGAACCTCGGCGCAGGTCGAATACGAACCTCGCCACGCTTACAAGAGGTCGAATACGAACCTCAGTGCGCTCACTAGAGGTCGAATACGAACCTTGACGCACCCACAAGAGGTCGAGTACGAACCTCGGCGCAGGTCGAATACGAACCTCGCCACGCTTACAAGAGGTCGAATACGAACCTCGGTGCGCTCACTAGAGGTCGAATACGAACCTTGACGCACCCACAAGAGGTCGAGTACGAACCTCGGCGCAGGTCGAATACGAACCTCGCCACGCTTACAAGAGGTCGAATACGAACCTCAGTGCGCTCACTAGAGGTCGAATACGAACCTCGACGCACTCACTAGAGGTCGAGTACGAACCTCGACGCAGGTCGAATACGAACCTCGCCACGCTTACAAGAGGTCGAATACGAACCTCAGTGCGCTCACTAGAGGTCGAATACGAACCTCGACGCACTCACTAGAGGTCGAGTACGAACCTCGACGCAGGTCGAATACGAACCTCGCCACGCTTACAAGAGGTCGAGTACAAACCTCAGCGCGCTCACTAAAGGTCGAGTACGAACCTCGCCGCACGATTACAAAAGGTCGAGTACGAACCTTGTCGCGCTTAGTAGAAGTCAAGGACAACACCAGTACGAACTACAACGTGTTCACTAACATACGAGCGTCATCGTGTTTACCAAAGGCCGAAAAGCCAACCTAAGCACGATCGTCCAAAACTAATCTCGAACTACGACATTACTACTTTAAAGTAAATTCAAGCCCTCACAGCACGCCACCAAACAAGAACTGAGGCCAACTCCGAATCTCAAAGCTAGGCGCAGAAAAAAGGGCACATATATACAAAACAAACATGTTCAAAACACGAATACAAGTATGAAAAAACTAGCAAAACTAGCCTACACAGAGGCATTATCGCTAGAACTATCCTCGACGTCATCTTCCCCGACCAGCTTTCCAAAGCGAACAACCTTTTCCACATGCATGCTGGAAAAGTCGAACCCGGGCGCGAGGAGCCTAGCTTGGCGAGCAGCCTTGAGGAAACCCCTCCTGTTCTCCACCACAACGGAACGCTCAACCTCCCCAAGCCTCCTCTTGAGTGAGGCATTCTCAGCCTCCAGCGCCGAGAAGGCTTTCCGCTGAGCAGATATCTCCGCTTCCCGGGTGCCAAGAACGACCTCGTCGCGAAGACGCTCCTCAGTCATTGACACCAGCTCGCTCTTTAAAAATGATACCTCATCCTCTAAAGAGCGAACTCGACCCACATAATCCTCATTGGAGCGCTGAGCCTTAGCAAGGTCTCCCCTTGCCGCTTGAAGCTCGGCCCCCTGCAGCTTCGCTTCACCCAGAGCCGAGTTCAGAACGCCGTTCTCTTCTCTTAGAATCTTGTTCTCCTCGCTCAGGGATTGAACTCGACTCTTCAGCATCGCAACATCCCCTTGCTGGTTGGACCACTTGTACTTCCAATAATCCATAACGGCCATGCCCCTTTGCAAGAAGAGCTGTGCAGCATCAAAGCTCCCTACCGGCCCAGCTGACTCGATCAGCGCCTGGTCAGCCGTACTCAGGGACCCTTTAGGAAAAATCTTCTCCGGAGTCGCAGCGGCACTCCACAGTGAGTCGACTTCCTCTGACGCACTCAGATGCTCTAGCCGCGTAGATGCACCCTCCCGTGCATAGTGATAGGCGACGTACGGACGCTTCGGAGGTCCCTTTGCTACCGGAGCGGACGTCGGAACCTCGGAGCTAGGAACCTGGCCGTAAATGCCAATCGGCGCAGATGCGGAGGTCCCCGACCCCGCACCAGAAACACCAACCCTGCCTGCCTACGAAAGGAAAAAAGAACAAGAGACATAAGCTCAACAAAAAAAAAGAAGGAGGGGAGAGAAGGGGAGATCAGGATCAAGAATACGCTCCACCTACCGCGGAAGCTCGGCCAGCCGAAGTCGCGACTGAAGCCATCGCCTCGGAGGTTGAAACATCCTGCCCGACGGCTCGAGAAGCTGCCTCGGCGACAACTCCCACCTATAACCAACAATCCCAACTCAGAAAATCGAGGAATAACATGAGGAAAGGGAATAGCTGGGCAGGACGCTTACCAATGTGGTCTTAGCCACTCGCTCGTTAGCTTGGGCAGATACCCCAACAGACCGGGCTGAAAGCCCACTAACTGGCGGCACCCCACCAACAGCCACCTGAGTTCCCCCCTCGGGCGAAGAACTCCCAGTCAAATCCACTGCCTCGGCAGCGGCAGTGTGGGGAGTAAACCCCTCCGCCCTTCAAGAAGCAGAGGTCCCCAGCTCGTCCTTCTTCCTTTTTCGGTTCAGTTTCAAGGGGGAAACTTCCTCCTCAAAGGGTTCAGGAGCCTCGAGCTCGGTAACCCTGTAACGATGCTTTAACTCGCGCCACGAGTTTTTCCCCAATATACCTGCAAACAAGAAGCGGAACACATGTCAACAAAAGCAAAGTTGCACGAACCCTAACGAATCACAAAAATAAGAGATACTCACTCTCCAAACCCCTCTCCCTGTGCAACGAACTCTCAAGTGACAGAACGAGTTTAACATCTAGAGGACGGGGAAGCGCCTTGAGGTTCTCAACGGCAGCCACCTCCGAAGCCGTCAACTGCGAAGGATCCACCCCGTTGAACCCAGACGGGTCGGGACACCAATAAAAAGGAAACTTCGGCAGCCCACCGAAGTAGAACACACCATCCTCAGATGGGTCAACACCAACAAGAGCAATTCGGAAAAACTCCTGCTTGTAATTCTTGTAAGATTGGGAGTAAAGGGTAAACAAACCCCCATCTTTACCCCCATTCACAGAAAGAACGCCATAAGGCGGAGCACCCGACTTTAACTGATAGAAGCTGAGGAAAACACGAAGAGACACCTCTATCCCTAGCACTGTACAGAGAACTTGAAACGCCCTCAGAAAACCCCAACTATTGGGATGCAACTGGCTGGGAGTGGCATTAATATAGTTCAAAAAGTTGCACTCGAACTGAGTGAAGGGAAGACGAATGCCCAGGTCCCTGAAAAAGCACTGATACACATAAAAGTGGGGTGAGCCGGTAGACTCCCCCATGAATACACAATCTCCGGCCGGACAGGGCTCCAACCGAATCAGTTGGGAGATAGAGGGGTCGCAAACCCTATGTGTCCTCCAAACCGAGTTAACCTCCAAGAAAGATTTAAAGACACTCTCGACCTTGGCCATTTCACGCTTCACCCAACCATAACCAGGAACGCCCTGTTCCAGGTCTGCAGGCGGAGGCGCTCCGGTAGCCACCACCTTGCCGCGCGTCCTGCCCTTGGCAGGCGCAGAAGAACTAGCACCGCGACCACCGGCCATTGATAGAAAGAAAGAATGAAGACGGGAAGGAAAGCGTGCGCAAGAAGCTGAAAGGATGAAAAAAGAAGGGTGAAGTGAAAACACCACCGCAAACACCAAGTCTTCAAAGCAAACACCACCGCTGCTAACTCCAGATCATGAGTGGGATAGTTTCTCTCATGAGTCTTCAGCTGCCTTGAAGCATATGCCACCAGTCTCCTGTTTTGCATCAATACACACCCTAGACCCTGATGAGAGGCATTACAGTACACATCAAAAGGCTCACCAGAATCTGGCAATACTAGTACAGGAGAAGTAGTCAATCTTCGTTTCAGCTCAACAAAACTTTACTCACAAGCATCAGTCCAAATAAAAGGCTGCTCTTTCCTCGTCAAATGAGTTAAAGGCGCTACTATCTTGGAGAATCCCTCAATGAACCTCCTATAGTATCCCGCCAAACCCACAAAACTCCTGATATCAGTGACAGTTCTCGGGTGCTCCCACTACAACACAGACTCTACCTTGGCCAAATCAACAGCAATTCCCTCAGCCGAAATAACGTGGCCCAAGAACTTCACCTCATCCAGCCAGAACTCACATTTTGAAAGCTTAGCATACAGCTGCTTCGCTTTCAAAATTTCTAACACTGTCCTCAAGTGCTCACCGTGTTCTTCCCGGGTCCTTGAGTAGATCAAGATGTCATCAATGAACACCACAACAAACTTATCCAAAAATGGCCGGAAGATCCTGTTCATGTAGTCCATGAACACTGCGGGAGCGTTAGTCACACCGAACGGCATCACAACATACTCATAGTGACCATACCTAGTCCTGAAAGCGGTCTTCGGTATGTCACCCTCCTTCACCCTAATCTGGGGATAGCCTTACCTCAAGTCAATCTTGGAAAATACCGATGCTCCCCTCAGTTGATCCATTAAGTCATCTATCCGGGGAAGTGGATATTTGTTCTTAATGGTCAACTTGTTTAGCTGCCGGTAGTCAACACACAATCGACTTCCTCCATCCTTTTTCCTTACTAATAACACCGGAGCACCCCACGGTGAGACACTCGGTCGTACCAACCGCTTTTCTAACAAGTCCTCCAACTGACCCTTCAGCTCAACCAGCTCAGCAGGAGCCATCCTATAGGGAGCCACCGACACTGGCCCCGCACTTGGAACCAAGTCAATACTGAACTCCAACTCCCTAACAGGAGGCAGCCCCGGCACCTCATCAGGAAATATGTCAGCAAAGTCTCTCACCACTTTAATATCAGCTAAGACCCTCTCGGTCTCCACACTCATAGCAGTAAGCAGAAGACAGCACTCTGCTCCATCTCTCAACAAGGACTCAGCCTGGCCAGCTGAGATCAACAGCTCATCCTCCTCTTGAGGGACAATCAACCTCCTATTGGCACAATCTATAAGAATGCGATTGGTAGACAACCAATCCATCCCTAAGATTATGTCAATATCCACCAATGGTAAACAAATCAGGTTCACCTTGTACTTCTTCTCACTCACCACAACCGGGCAGCCCACACACAATTCTGAAGCAATCACAGAAGCAGAAGCAGGCGTAGACACTAGCAATCTCAACCCCAAATCACACACAGGTACACCCATCATAGCAGCACATGCATAAGATATAAAAGAATGGGAAGCACCGGAATCAAAAAGAATCATCACATCCTTACCAGCAGCTTTGCCTTTCCCCTTCACAAGGTCAAAAGAAGTCGAGGCCTCAGCACCTGTCAAAGCAAATACCCTACCAGCAGTAGTGGGTCTATCACCCCTTTGAGTGTCAGCTCTCTGTGCACTGCTTCTCTGAGTCTCAGCCCTCTGTACATCACTCCTCTGAGCGCTCCTCTCTGGTCTGCTCCTAGTAGGACAACTAGCCGACTCGTGGCCCATCTGATGACATCTAAAACAATGACTCTCTGTGTGAGGACAGTCCCTAACAAAATGGGGCCCAGCACACCTGAAACATCTCAGTGTGGCACCTCCACTCTGTCTACCTCCACTAGCAGCACTAGAAGATTGCCGAACAACAGAACCCCCTTGCTGTGATTGGGGCTTGTCATACGGCTTCCTCTGACTCTCACCCTTCTTGGACCAAGATGACCCTCCAGCTGTCCTCACAACACGGTTACCACTTTCCAACCGCTCCACAACCTTCGCCTTCTCCACTAAGGTCGGGAACTCAGTGATGGCCATAGGCACCACCACCCTCCTCAGGTCATATCTCAACCCATCAGCAAATTTCCTGCATTTCCAGGCCTCAGCTATACCTTGCGAATAAAAACGAGCCAGGTGCTCGAATTTCATTGCATACTCAGATACTGTCATCCCCCCCTGATGCAGTCGCATAAATTCTGCCTCCTTGGCATGCCTCACGCTTTCCGGAAAGTACTTCTCCATAAATACCGTCCGGAAGCACTCCCAATCAACTTTGACTCCTCTAGCAGTAAGCATCTGATAGGTGCCTCTCCACCAATGCTCAGCCTCTCCCACAAGCATGTACACAGCATAGGCTAACCTCTTCTCTGGAGGACATCCCAAGACAATAAAAATCTTTTCCAGCTCACGGATCCAGCGGTCAGCTACCTCTGGATCCGCATCCCCTGCAAACTGTGGGGGATTACACTTCTGGAACTCAGCAAGATCCCGGCTCTGCTGTGATCCTGTAGGCCTTGCTGCACCAGCTGCAGCTCTTTCAGCCTCCATCCTAGCAAAATAGGCATTTTGCTGTTGCATAGCCATAGCCATCATCTCTATGGCACGGGCTATCTGCTCGTTGGTCCTAGTCATCGTCTACAAAAGTAACAACATATTTAGTAAACAATACTAAACCAACAACAATCAACAGCACAATAATTCATCACAACAATTTTCAGCACAACAGACATCACAACAAAACAGCACAGCTAGAGTTAACACAACAAAAAGCCTAAAGGGACCACCCCCAAAGAGTGTCCACTAGACTCGACCGGCTCTGATACCACTAAAGTGTAACGATCCGGCTGGTCACTACACAAGGTATAGTACACTAGAAACACCAGACAACTAGAACAAGTATACGTATATAGAGTCTATAATGTATAAATATACAAAGTTCCAGTCTGAATAGCGTTAAAGTGTATATCGATACATCAATTCAGTGCTACACCGAGTAGCCAAACAACAAAATATAGACATCCTACGAGGCTTGACTCCAAATGCCAGCTACTGTCCAACCATCAGCCACCGACCTATTCCTGCCCTGCTCCCATACATAGTATGATCATTGCAGTCCAACATCATGGAAACAACAAAGGGTGAGCTAGTGCAATTACAAATCAACATACAAATAGATATATATAACGCTAAAATAAATCCATCGTGATAAATATTAGCACACTTGTACAACTCATATCATTTAACAACATCAGTACCGCGTAGCGGCAATATCAACACAGCTCATCAGCAACAACAGCACCACTTCAAGTGGCTAATACAGCACCGCAAGGCGGCTACAACAGCACCGACTTAGCGGCTAAATAACACCACTTATGTGGCTGATAACAACACCGATCTAGCGGCTAAAACATTTCACATCTCAGCACAGCACAGCACGGCACAGCACAACACAGCACAACACAGCACAACATAACACAACATAGAAATTTCAACAAGCATATTGATTATTACAACTCAACACAATCTTCTATAGTTCCGTTCGACTATGAAATTTTGTATATTAAATTTATCGGGTTCAGCTCAACAATTCACCACTAGTGCAACTAAACATCTTTATCTCGGTTTTAGGATCTAGCCATCACAGCATATCCATCAAATACAACTTAGTTCAGCATATAACATCATTGATTAACAATCTCGGCGCAATTCAAAACCCTTATCATATATGTCACAATCTTCTTGTGCGCCCGGCGCACCCTTAATTGCGCCCGGCGTGGCACATCCAGGGGCACCAGGAGACCAGCACGCCCGGCGCAAGTATGCTCACGCCCGACGTACCTCAACCAGAGAGCTCAAGAGCCTCACGCACTCGGCGCAATTTTCAATTGCGCCCAGCGCAAGCTCAGGCAGAGACTCAAGGGGTCTCCTACGCCCGGCTCGGCCTAACCCGCGCCCAGCGTGGGAAAGGCAGAGACCTACCAGGGTCTCGCGCCCGGCGCAATTCGCATTGCGCCTGGCGTGCCCTTGGCAGAGACTCCCAAGAAGCCTCTGCGCCCGGCGAGTCCAAACACGCGCCCAACGCGACACCAACCCCCAAAAGAATATGTCACCTACTGCTGGCACGCCCAGCGTGGTTCAAGCCACGCCCGGCGCGAGTCAATCCAGAGGCTTACGTTCACAATCTCGCCGGGCGCATACATCTTTGCGCCCGGTGGACTTGCTTAAGTGAAACCTCCAGATGAATACACGCCCGGCGCGAAGAACTACGCCCGGCGTGAAGCTCAGCAGCAGCTCACGAAGTTCAAAAATTTTCCTAAACACCTGCAAAACAGCCAGGAAACTAACATGCAATCCATCCAATAGTCTGCATTTTCATCAAACATCATGAAAAACATCTCCTTTTTAACATGCAACCCCAAAACAAGATTTTTCTTGAAATTTTCCCAAAGACCCCTAAGACCAAAAGGCCACCAATCTTCCATCCCAGCAGATTTTCGGCTCAAACACAGCAATTAGCATACCACAAAGGCGTTCACAGAGTGCATTTCAATCTAAACAAAATGAAAGACTAGCTGCCCTTACCTTAAAGCAAGAAATCCAAGCTTCGGGACCGCGGAGATTAGAGGAGAAGAGAAACTGGAAAACGAACGGAGAAAGGAGAAATCTTCAGCTAGCTCTTGGCTAAGCTTGCTCAGCACCTTCAATTTTAAGGTCACCACAGGGAGAGAAAATCAGCAGTAAGAAGAAGGAGAAAGTGAGAGTGAGGAAAAAAAAAGAAATGAGAGAATGAGTGGGGGAGTGGAGTCGGAAAGGAAAAAGGAAGGGGGGTCCTCACAAAAAGGACATATATATATATATATATATATATATATATAGAAACTAAAATTGATACTAGTATTTGTTAACGGTAAGAATTAAAAGATAAAATTTATGACATTAAAGGATAATTAAACAACAAAAGCAAAAATATTTGATGGGTTGTGTTGTATTATTGTACTACTCGTCTTCAATAGGACTGTTTTTTCTAGCATATATATTACATGATGATGGAGAGCAAAAGGTATGAAGCATATAAATCTTCAAGCACATTCAAACCTTGAAGCACAAAAATGATAACCATTGTGGCTTCGTATAATGTCACTCCAAATCAACCAACTCCTAAAGATCCCTTATGGCTATCCGACAGTGACCAAGTCGGGCACCTAAGTCATGTACCCACAATCTACATTTACAAAGCAAAACACAACAACACCATCATTGAGAGGTTGAGAGACTCTCTTAGCAAGATTTTGGTGTTCTACTATCCAGTGGCTGGTAGAACGACGTTGACAGAAAGTGGTAGAATGGAAATGGATTGTAACGCAAAAGGAGTGACACTGCTTGAAGCTGAAACCACAAACACATTGGGTGATTATGGAGACTTTTCACCCTCTGAATCCACCAACAAACTTGTTCCAACCGTTGATTACCCTCAACCTATAGAGGAGCATCCCCTATTGCTGGTGCAATTAACAAAGTTCCATGGTGGTGAAGGCTTTGCCATTGGAATTGCTATTTTTCATCCTTTGGTTGATGGCACCTCCGCTATTAATTTCATCAACACATGGGCAAAGCTGGCTCGAGGAGAAATACTAGGGCATAATGAAATGCCATTTCTCAACCGAACATTACTAAAATTCCCACACCAGCCATCGACAACACGCATTGATATCCCCCAGTGGGGTTCAACGCAACAACACAAAACAGACGAAGTTACTCAAAAGAAGAGGGAGATGAGTGTTGAGGTGCTCAAACTCACATCAAGCCACGTGGAGAAGCTTAAGAAGAAGGCTAACGACCAATCTTTGAAAGAAGGGTCGAGGCCTTATAGCAGATTTGAAGTTATTTCTGCTCACATATGGAGATGCTATGAAAAGGCTCGTGAAATTGGTGAGAACCATCCAACCAGAGTTAGCTTTTCTGTTGACATTCGCAATAGGTTGATTCCACCACTCCCTCAAAACTATTTTGGGAATGCTTTGGCAAAAGCAGTGACACCTAAATGTTGTGTGGGAGATATCATATCAAGTCCGTTAATTTATGCTGCTCAAAAGATAAGGGAAGCAGTTTATGCAGTTACGGATGAGTATATAACGTCACAATTGAGTTCTGTTTTTGGGCAAGGGCATTTGGATAGCATAAGGGCCTTTTTCTCTGGACAAGGAAGCCTTATTAGTTCCCCAGATCCTAATGATCATGTCTTTATATCGACAAGTTGGATAACCATGCCAGTGTATGATGCAGATTTTGTATGATGCCAGTGTATGTGCATTTTGGTTTAGGAATTATATTTCAAAAACCGAGAGCACTGATTCTTCCAAGTTCAGATGGAGATGGTGTTATTGTCTCCTTGAATTTCCCAACAGTTCATTTGCAACTTATCAAGAAATTCTTCTACGACGATATATGAAATACTAATATCCACATTTTAAATGTCCTAGGTTTGCTTATGCATACATTTTATGTGTGACGTGATTTTCTTTGTTTAGGAAATTAGCATGTGATCCATCTCCATGTTCTATCACATCCTTACTTTCAATAAAATAAAATTGCGTGTGTGATGTACAATTTTATGCATTGAATAAAGTTCATATATTTTCATCAAATGTGACTTTGTCTTTTCATTTTTTTATGGTAGTATGTTGAGTGCTTCCTTTTATATCTTTATATATAACATCTTAATCTGATAAAAGATTATATATATTCTTAAATTTATTCAAGAAATGTGCAGTGATAATTTTCATTTTAATCAAACATTTAATTCTAAACCTTTGAGCCCATATATAAAACATGTTATAGTCTGTTAAAATTTTAATTAGCTTGTATTTAGTTGCATTTACCTCGCACAACCAAAAGTTATGACTTATGATAGAGTAGGAAAGATGGAGAAAAAGGGTGGTCATCAAGCTCCGTTTACTCTATGAATAAATCTACTTAGATTTATTTCGTTCAATAACTCAAATTTTATATAAAATTTTAATTATCAAACCATTGAATTTAATATTCTTAATGCATAGATCAAGTTTACAAAATTTTAAAAAATTTGAAAACTATTTGATACTTCGTGTTATTAATTCAAATTAATGTTTATATATATATATATATATATATATATATATAAATATTATTACATTAATAAATTTATTAAAATTAAAAAAATTATAATTTTCGACGAGTAAATAAAGGGTTGTAATATTAATTTAGAGGCAGTTGGTGCGACAGTTGATGAAATGGTCACAATGTTAATATAGAGGCAGTTAGTGCGTCGGGTGCTTCAGGGGTCGCAATTCCAATTTTGCGACGGTTTGTGCAACGATTCTGATAACTGTCACAAAATTGTCTTGTGACGGACAATTCTGCGCGGTTCCCAAACCGTCGCAATGTTGTCTTTGCGGCAGTTCTAACCGTCGCAATGTAGGCCATATAACCGTCGCAAAATTGTCATTTTCTTGTAGTGAGGGTTTTTCCTGAAAAATCTATGTGCCATTTTTCTTTCTTGTTTCTGAATTAATGCAAGCTCTATGTGCCTTTCTTCTTTCTTGTTTGGGTTGTTGACTGCTGTGCAAGTACTACTGGTCAAACTGGGCATGCTTTATTGCATCTGGAACGGCCCGTTCTACAACTAGAACGGTCCGTTCCTCTTGCAGTCTTTGTGTGTAAATTGTCCATCTGGAACGGGCCATTCTGGTTTAGAACGGCTGTTCCGGACAATAAATACACAAACGACTGTAAGCAGAACGACCCGTTCTGGTTGCAGAACAGGCCGTTCCGGATGTGTGTCACACAATTTTACGTCGATTTTTGGGAATGTCTGACATAAATTTACGTCAGTCATCACGCCCGACGTAAATTTACGTCTCCCGCTTAAAAGTCAGAGTTTTTTGCGACGTAAAAGTCCTAAAATAACCGACGTAGAATACACATTATATACTAGTGATGCCCCATTCGTGAAACATATTTTTTTATAGTGTTCTATATATAGAATGAAGTTGTATTGAAATTTTAAGACATTACTGTAATTGTATGAAAGAATAAGTTTAATTACTTATGATCCTATATTTTTAGAAACTTTATTTTTTAAGTCTTAATATTTAAAAATATTATATTTAGTCTTTATATGTATAATTTTTGTTTTATTTACTCTTTATATTTGTATAAATTGTACTTTTTAGATTTGTATAAATAGATAATAGGATTTGAAAAGGACTAAAAATATATATATTGAAACTAAAATTGATACTAGTATTTGTTAACGGTAAGAATTAAAAGATAAAATTTATGACATTAAAGGATAATTAAACAACAAATTTAAAAGAAAAAATATTTGATGGGATGAGTTGTATTATTGTACTACTCGTCTTTAATAGGACTGTTTTTTCTAGAATATATATTACATGATGATGCAGAGCAAAGGTATGAAGCATATAAAATCTTCAAGCACATTCAAACCTTGAAGCACAAAAATGATAACCATTGTGGCTTCATATAATGTCACACCAAATCAACCAACTCCTAAAGAGCCCTTATGGCTATCCGACAGTGACCTAGTCGCGCCCCTAAGTCATGTACCTACAATCTACATTTACAAAGCAAAACACAACAACACCATCATTGAGAGGTTGAGAGACTCTCTTAGCAAGATTTTGGTGTTCTACTATCCGGTGGCTGGCAGATTAATGTTGACAGAAAGTGGTAGAATGGAAGTGGATTGTAACGCAAAAGGAGTGACACTGCTTGAAGCTGAAACCACAAACACATTGGGTGATTATGGAGACTTTTCACCCTCCCAATCCACCAAGAAACTTGTTCCAACCGTTGATTACACTCAACCTATAGAGGAGCATCCCCTATTGCTGGTGCAATTAACAAAGTTTCATGGTGGTGAAGGCTTTGCCATTGGATTTGCTATTTTTCATCCTTTGGTTGATGGGATCTCCGCTATTAACTTCATCAACAAATGGGCAAAGGTGGCTCGAGGAGAAGCACTAGGGCATAATGAAATGCCATTTCTCGACCGAACATTATTAAAATTCCCACACCAACCATCGGCAACACGCATTGATATCCCCCAGTGGGGTTCAACGCAGCAACACAAAACAGACAAAGTTACTCAAAAGAAGAGGGAGATGAGTGTTGAGGTGTTCAAACTCACATCAAGCCACGTGGAGAAGCTTAAGAAGAAGGCTAACGACCAATCTTTAAAAGAAGGGTCGAGGCCTTATACCAGGTTTGAAGTTATTTCTGCTCACATATGGAGATGCTATGATAAGGCTCGTGAAATTGGTGAGAACCAACCAACAAGGGTTCGGTTTAGTGTTGACATTCGCAATAAGTTGATTCCACCACTCCCTCAAAACTATTTTGGGAATGCTTTGGCAAGAGCAGTGACGCATAAATGTTGTGTGGGAGATATCATATCAAGTCCGTTAATTTATGCTACTCAAAAGATAAGGGAAGCAGTTTATGCAGTTACTGATGAGTATATAAGGTCATATTTGAGTTCTATTTTTGGGCAAGGGCATTTGGATAGCATAGAGGCCTTTTTCTCTGGTCAAGGAAGCCCTATTAGTTCCCCAGATCCTAATGATCATGTCTTTATGATGACAAGTTGGATAACAATGCCAGTGTATGATGCAGATTTTGGATGGGGAAAGCCTGTGCATTTTGGTTTAGGAATTGAATTTCGAGAACATAGAGCAGTGATTCTTCCAAGTTCAGATGGAGATGGTGTTATTGTCTCCTTGAGTTTCCCAACAGTTCATTTGCAACTTATCAAGAAATTCTTCTACGAGGATATATGAAATATTAATATCCACATTTTAAAAGTCCTAGGTTTGCTTATGCATACATTTTATGTGTGTCGTGATTTTCTTTGTTTAGGAACTTAGCATGTAATCCATCTCCATGTTCTATCACATCCTTACTTTCAATAAAATGAAATTGCGTGTGTGATGTACAATTTTATGCATTGAATAAAGTTCATAGATTTTCATCAAATGTGACTTTTTCTTATGGTAGTATGTTGAGTGCTTCCTTTTATATCTTTATATATAACATCTTAATCTGATAAAAGATTATATATATTCTTAAATTTATTCAAGAAATGTGCAGTGATAATTTTCATTTTAATCAAACATTTAATTCTAAACCTTTGAGCCCATATATAAAACATGTTATAGTCAGTTAAAATTTTAATTAGTTTGTATTTAGTTGCATTTACCTTGCACAACCCAAAGTTATGACTTATGATAGAGAAGGAAAGATGGAGAAAAAGGGTGGTCATCAAGCTCCGTTTACTCTACGAATAAATTTACTTAGATTTATTTTGTTCAATAACTCAAATTTTATATAAAATTTTAATTATCAAATCATTGAATTTAATGTTGTTAATGCATAGATTAAGTTCACAAAATTTTAAAAAATTTGAAAACTATTTGATTCTTCATGTCAATAATTTAAAATTAATGTTTATATATATATTAAGATCGGTTATTTAAGAACCGATCTTAAAAGTGTTATTTGATACAACTTTTAAGATCAGTTCTTTTGTAACCGATCTTAAAAGTTGTATCAGACAGCATTTTTAAGATCGATTCTTAAATAACCGATCTTAAAAGTACTTTTAAGATCGGTTAAATTTTAACCGATTTTAAGAGTGTTCATATTATTTACGAAATTACCACCGCGTCACTTTTAAGATCGGTTACCTTATAACCGATCTTAAAACTCCGATTTTAAATCCAATTTTTGCACTAGTGTAATATAAAGTTATTGAGCGGTGTAACACTTAGTAAAATTTATACCATTGTAATTATAACCTCCTCATATATATATATATATATATGTATGTGTGTGTGTGTGTGTGTTGTGTGTGTGTATATATATATGTGTGTGTGTGTGTGTGTGTGTGTGATAAATTGCTAAACTATTGAGGTATGATGCTTATAATGTTTTAGGCATGATATGTTAGTTTACTGTTGAACTATTAAGGTGTTGATAATGAGAATGTTTTAGGCATTTAGGCACATTATGTTCGTTGACCTGGGATTAGAGGAGAGTGTGTTTTCAAAAGTTGGATATTCCATTGTGAAGAAATTGGAATAGGGTTATACAAGTCTAATTGTTGAAAATTCTTATTGAGTAGTTAACTCTTAAAATGGATATATGAGTCTCCTATACGACCTTAATTGATGCAATATGTGGGTCAGGTAAAAACATATTGACTATAAAGTGGCCACAATATAGGGATTAGGTTGAGCTACATTATTATAAGTGACCAATGTTGATCTGTATGTAGGCACGGTCAAGACATATGTGTATAAAGTTACCAATCGAGTAAGGTACAAGGTCAGAAGCTTAATCTCTAACTGAGTATTAGAAGGACGTAGTATTTGAATGGTAGTTGTTAGGAATGGATATCCCAATTTGGCTATTAATCTAATAGGTGTAAAAAGATTGTGTAGTTTAATAGGGTCAAGTTACTTATACTGCTCACCTTTGTTGTAAGAGATATTTGTAGGTAAATGTGTAACAATACATGTAGTTGAGATGTTAAGGATATGATGTGTTGTTTGTGATTGTGGTGTTGTTCATATGTTTGTTAATGGTGTTGTTGAATGGCATTGATTTGGCAAAATATGAATTTTCATATGTAGTTAAGTGGCTTATTTTGTAAGATGTAACATGTCACGTGGAGGTGATTAGTTGTGGTGATGAGATGTAGACCATGATATGATTTTATTGTATGGTTTACATGTTAATATTGTTGATAGTGTAGTTATTTTACTTTTATACTTTTTGCATGATTACTCTTTTGTATACTAGTTTATTCTTTAATGTTTTTTATGACTAAATTGTGATGATCATATTTAGTATGAGAGTAGAATATGAATAAATTATAAATAAAAATTTTAAGTGAAGCCATAATGGTGATGATGGTAGTAATCTTTTTGTACTTGTCTTATGTAGCTCTTGATAATTATTCCTCAAACAACAACTTAATTTAATTTAATTTAATTTATAATGTTGAATTATTATATATATATTATGCATATATTTAGATATTGTGATTATATTAATTATAAAAAAATTTAGTTATTTTTACTATTAATAGTTGATTCGTTAAATATAAAAATCTTTAGACTTATATGTGATATCAATATCATGTTTAAAAAATAAATACATACTACATGTTGTAATGCCTTTATAAAGTAACAGGTTTTAGTGGTCCATAAGCTGCGATAAGCATTTATTACACATTCAGCAAATCAACGCATCCCACACAACACACAGCCACACTTAAACCATCATCTTGTCACGCTTCACACACGCACACTTGCCTCTAGACACACTCGCACTTGTGCTACACATACATTTTTATATAAAATATGATTTACACATGGTCATAATACTTTAATCACACTGTGATTTTTTTTTAATATACGTGTAGTTCCATGTCTATATTTACATTTAAATTAAAATCACATCAAAATTAATAATATAAAAGTAACTAATTGTTTTCCTACAAAAATTTTCTCATCGAAAATATAAATTTTTCGACAGATTTAATTTTGTTTTATAAGAAATCATCTTCGATTAATATAACATTTTGTATATATGATTTAAGAGTAAAAGATTTTCAATTTAACGGTTGAATTTACAAAATTCACATTTAACACTAGTGAAAAAAAAAGGCTTTTAAAATCGGTTATTTTTCACTTTTAAAATCGATTCTGTAACCGATTTTAAAAGTGCCGATTTTGAAAGTTAGACTTTTAAAATCGGTTAAATAACTGATTTTAAAAGATAACTTTTAAGATCGATTATTTTATAACCGATCTTAAAAATCTGTGTTGCAAAAAAAAAAATAAACTGGAACGGGCTGTTCCAGGTTTCCGAAAACGAGTACAGGCCGTTTGGCAGGAGAACGGCCCGTGCTCCTTGCAGTACGGGTCGTTCTGCTTGGAGAACGGCCTGTTCTCCTTGCAGCACGGGTCATTTTCCTTGCAGAACGGCCCGTTCCAGCTACGTAATTTGCTTCCAAATCCGTAATTTGCCCAAAATGAACCTACAGCAAAAATAGAGACAAAAGAAAAGCATTAGAAAACGAAAAGAGACACAAAATAGAGCATGAGAAGACGAAAATAACAACGAAATTTATTAGAAATTGAGAGCACAAGAGAGTAAAAAAATGAATGAAGAAAAAGATTAAAGAGAATGAGAATGGAGGGAAATATAAAAGGTTGCTGACGATACTTTTAAAATCGGTTATTTATGAACCGATTTTGTATACTGCATACAAAATCGGTTCTGAAATAATCGATTTTAAAAGTAGCACTTTTAAAATCGGTTCTTAAATAACCGATTTTAAAAGTAGCACTTTTAAGATCAGTTAAAATTTAACCGATCTTAAAAGTACTTTTAAGATCGGTTATTTAAGAACCGATCTTAAAAGTGTTATTTGATACAACTTTTAAGATCAGTTCTTTTGTAACCGATCTTAAAAGTTGTATCAGACAGCATTTTTAAGATCGATTCTTAAATAACCGATCTTAAAAGTACTTTAGTCGAAATTAAAACTTGATTATAGATATTTACCTATAAGATCATTATTGTGACACCCCATTTTTCACAAAATATATAAATATTTTATTAATAATTCTGATATTTCTATTTTATTAATAGGGACTGTTAAATATTTGTTTTAATTGTGTTATATATTTTAAAATATATTATATGATATTTTATTAAAGAAAAATATAGTATTTTAATTAAAAAGAAAGGAATTTTCGGAATAATTATAGTTAGTATGTTTTAACTAGAGAGTAATTAAAAGGAGGTTAGGTTTTATTAAAAAGAGGGATTTTCTAGTCAAACCCTTTTTATGCCTCTATTTTCACATACGCACTTCAGAACTAGGAGAACATAAGTAGGAAGAAAATCACAGAGTCATGCATCCGTCATCTAGAGCTTATCAAGGTAAGGGAGGGAGTGAGAAATCTCACTTTGGGTGTGAGTTGTATGTCGGACAGTACGTAAGATTGGCTCCCAATCCTATGTTTAATATATGCTCATATATGACAAGTTTTCTCCAATTAATTGTGTCTGTTTCACTTTTTGGTTTTCTTGTATCTAATTAATTGTATGAATTGCTTAAATGGGTGATTGATTTCATGTTTTGATATTGTAATTGTATGATTTAAAATCTATATGGATTTCTTGAGAAATCCTAAGGGAATGCATTGATGATTGTACGAGGAGATTGATTGGGTATAAGTTATATGTGTCAATTGTGTTTTTTAGAAGTGTAATATAACCTATGGAGAGTTTATACCAATTAGATTAAGAGCAAAGAATTTGGGTGAGTTGTGTTAGATTCTAAAATTCTGGTATAAACATACCTTGGTATTTATCTGATTTTTTTTGCATGTAATTAATGAAATTGAGTTCTGATTGTTAGGTTAGAAAATAAACATTTAGAGTTATAGTTTAGACTCAAGAATCACAAAAATGTTAAGAAATGACCAAGTTATGTGAGTTCAAAGACCAACCTCATATTTTATTCACGAAATAACATGCATATGTTGTAAGCTTTTTTAGTAGACTTAAATGGAAGATATATATAGGTTTTGTGATCTTCATAAAAGTTGTAGCCTTGGATGTTATGTTTCAAATTCCATTGGAATAATCTAAAAAGGAGGTCTATAACTCAAGTTATGAATAAATTAGTAAGCAAAGGTCAGGTTGTCAAATTTAGGCTTAAACGTTGCGGTTTTTTATTTATTTAAAATAGTAGATGGCGTATATAGCTCTTGAGGTCAACATAGAACTTGGAAATAATTGTCTTATCTTTCTAATAAAATTAAGATCAACTTAATAGCATATATATAGCACTAGCTCAGGCTTTTGGACCATGCAATATCGTAGAAGATTAAGTTATGAAAATGTAGTATGTGAGTGTGCTACTCATATGTTTGTGAGCTATGTATGATTTGTAG